ACTTCAAAAAGTTATTTTAACTTGAAAATTCGCTATTTTGCATATTTTTGGTGGCCATTGGTGGGCCTATTTAGTATAACGCCGACGACGCGCCATTAAAATGCGTATAAGGACGAGGCTTAAATCCATTCTTAATTTCTCTTTAATATCCATAGATCGGCTATCAACAATGCGATATGTTAGTACAACTCGATAACAGTAGACATAGCCGGAAATTCGACATAGCCGCATAGCCTAAACCTTTTTAAAGAACCAGGAAATTTTTTCCCAAGCTCCGTGTTATCAATTGATTTCTATTTACATTAGTATGTAAAGCTTGTGTGTAGCCTATGTGTTAAGTAGGAATTAGTTACCACTTCAAAAAGTGATTTTAATTTAAACATTCACAGTTTATATATTCTTGGTGGCCTTTGTGCCTGTAAGTTGAATAAAATCAATTAACAGAATCGAGATAGGCTTACTGAGGCACTTACAGGAATTTGTTTGTGGGCCTATTTATAAAACGCCAACGATTCGTCGTTAAAATGCGTGGTGAAGGGCGTAGGCCTACCTATCCATTCTCTTATCTATCGGCTATCAACAATGCGATATGTTTAGTACTCGATAAACAGTAGACATAGCCAGAAATTCGACATACACTGTAAAAACAGTGTGGAGCATTTAAACACAAAGCTCCACGCAATGTTGTCCCGTTTTTGGTGACACATTTAAAAGCTAAACGTGTTTAGGTCCGGCCTAATGTGAAGAAGAAGAAGGGTAGGCCTATATACTGTATGTTCAACAGCGAATTGAGGGAAACTCTACTGTCGTAGAGTTCGCTCGATGCTGATACGAATAATGATAGATAGCAGTGACGAATCTGGGGGGGGGGGGCGGGTGGNNNNTGAATATGGTGGCTAGCCACCTCCCTTCTGTTTACCGTTAAAGAAATGATCACTCGTCTTATATGCTCGTGAATACATGTTCCCTGTTTTTCTATTTTTAAAAATTTTTAAACAAAACCCATTTGACATTTGACCTCAGTCTCAATTCGTTCTTAATTATTAACATCAGCAATTCAGGCTGTTGTTATAAAACTGAGTGTAGTAAACTGCAGCTTTGTATGGCAAGCCGAGCTTTCATTCATTTGAAAGTAAGATATACCTTAGTAATTTTTATAAGTAAAATAATGCATGTGAAAGCAATATAATATATTATTTGAATGTTTGAATGGCGAAGCAATAATACATGAATGCTTGCAGTACACCACGTATACATAATAGCCTATATCAAACTTGTTCAATCTGTCTCATTCGACATTGACAACTTTTGTTTTTCAACATAACCAAGAAAGGTGATTACTGTACATTATATTGAACTCTATAAATGCATGTTATCGATGACTGCCATAATCATATGTTTACCAGAGACCAACTGGAGAATAATCAAGTTCTCGTAATCTCGGAAGCTCCGCGATGAGGGCAATATATAGAGGCAATAGAGTATGTTGGTACTACGGCCGCCCATACAAAGAAGCTCTATTATATCAATCGGCCGAGCGTTTCTAGGGCCCTAACGGCCGCTCATACAAAAATGATCTATTTTACTTTGACCATGTTGAACAGTGAAATTATTATTATTATTATTTCACTGTTCCTTGCTTTGACATTATTATTATTAATTAGTAGTCCCATTAATTTTAGCAACCATAACGTTTGAATAATAGTTAAAATATGCATACTCATTTATGTACATTATTATTATTATTTTTATTATTATTTAAGTTATATGAATATTTAGATTTGAATGATGGGTGAACTGACGTCATTATCATTCAGAAATGACAAACTTTTATTAATATTCTCGGCTTTACTAAAGCACCACCTAGTTATAGGCCTACAAGCATGGTTTAGGGGGAACCGAGGGGTGAGGGAATGCCCCAATCCAAAAGCGCTATCCTCCTTTTAAAAAGTAATAGGCCCTAAGTCTAAAATATTTTGTCCTAAAATATCGTTGTTTCCTCCTCCAGGGTTGTATAAATATGAATGCAAGAAATTTCCATTTTTTGGCATTGTTTATTTGCACGTGATGTCTATGAAATCTATGTAGTTTATATATGGGCCCGGACGCATCGGTATACTGTAGTTATTTTAGGGCTATAACTTTATGCTTTAATAATTTTCATTAACAAAACGGTGCCGCATCGGAAAGACGCTTTCTAACCAAATTGATTCATATCAACAAACTATGTATTCATGCAAAGGACCTACATTAATTATATTCATTCTTCATCATCGTAACGGCGACAAAATCTGTATTCTGCATTACAGTATTGTACTGTAGATTAGTAATGAGAAAATAACGACCTTACGGTAATGTATGGAACCTATGTGCCAATAATTAAGATGTCTCTGTATAGTCAAGCGATAATGGATAAATGGAGTGTATGGTAGGCCTATGTACCGTAGGTTACTTCTTTTTAAAAATATATTAGGCCAAAAAAAAAGAAGTGTTGTGTTGCCATTAAATGGGAAAAAATTAGATAATCGGTCGGTCCGATTTTTTAAAAAATCTTTTAATTAGTAATACCTGAAATGGTATGCCTCAAACAGCAGTGCCCATTATGAAGACCCTATGCCTAAGGGCTCGTAGACACCATAATAGAACGATGGCAAACTTGCCAAACAAAAAAAAATATGACGGATTATACTACCCTAGTGTACCTTATAATTTTTAATACATTTTCCCCTTAATTCGTTATCCCGCATATACTTGTGCCACATGCGTGACAAATTTATGATCACGCATGTGTTACGTTTCTGCAAAATGCGTGTTTCATCAAAAATCACTGTTAAATGCGGGACCGTCTCGCACGATGCGAGACGGTTGGTAACTATGTTAAAGAAAGTTTTATTTGGCTTCGAAACGTAAAAGAATGTGTATCTGATCCACGCACTTGCAGGTCGAGCAAAACCATACAGTAGGCCTACTATGGCTATGAAAAAAATGTCCAAACAAGGGCCCTCTTTGTACTACAATTGAATAACCAGAGCCTTGCAGGCTTCAACTTTCCTACGCTACGCATGATATAAGGTTGGGTCAAATTTGCGTGGTGGTTTAACGTGAACAATTCAGGAGGAGTGAGTTTTTATGGTCCAACATAGTGATTTTTGACCACATTGTTTATGTTATTTGATAGACAAATTAAGTTAGTAGAATCATCAAAAATAAATTTGTAGGCCTATGTAGGTAAACAGTATTTTCATTTTACAATAGTTTGAAACAATATCGGGGGTGGGGGTGTTAGCATGGCCTACATAGACAACAATATATTTAACCACCTTAGCAGGCGTCAACGTTCCTATGCAGAATGAAGTTATATGACTGAATTTAATACGATATGAAATATTTCAATATTTAGGCCGTTTGCTGTGTTATGCTGCGGCAGCGAAAATGTTGGCCTATAGGCCTAATTAATACATCAACAGTGATACTTCTATCACTATGGATTGTTTTAACTTTCGCAGAGACGTATTCATGCAGGAAGGCGCTGCTTCCCTCCTCCCCCTCCCCCACCCCTTTGTACACAGTTTTAATACAAATTTCCTTAAATCACTCTTTAATAGTGATCAACAAAATTATAAATAAACACAATACACTTTGTTAGTATTCTTTGCACTAGTATGCTAATGACACCTTCATATTTTCCACAACGGCAATGTGTGCCAGGATGACAAGATTGAGTGCAATGGGAATAAAGTGATGGATGCTAGTTAGTAAACTAATCCCAAGTGTACCATTAGGCATGTCACTGTCAGTAAAACAACATTTTCCTGAACATGTCTACACACACACACATACACACACACAAACGCAAACAAGTAAATACAATAGTTTCTATTGCATTACATGCATAGGAAATAAAAAAGAGAAAATATTTCGTTTACGGTTGGCCTAAAGATCCATAAACAGAGCCTAAGTCTAGCTATGGCTAGACCTAAGCCTGTATTTATTTATTGTCCAATGTAGCCTAAAGTAATGAATAGGCCTACTTTTTTTGATTCAAGCAACTAAGCTGTACAGTAGTAAAGAATAAGCTAGGCCTATATCTGGTCGTGGCTTGAAGCTCAGCGGGAGAGATCCGATGTTGTGTGCATTATCTTTGTCGTGCTCGGTTCTCCAAAATGCCTTCTATTTTACACGTGCATCTATGACCTGTTTGATAAAAATACATGTCTTTTAGAATTTATATCCTAAATGTTAATTTTGACAGTGGTATTTCTCGAATTTGTACTTTGAACAAAGGGGAAAAAATGCCGACCGGATTTTTTGGAAAATTTCGGTCGGTCGCGGAGGGCACACAGCATATTTTTTTTCTATGTGTATAAGAGACAGCATCGGTATACTGTAGTTATTTTAGGGCTATAACTTTATGCTTTAATAATTTTCATTAACAAAACGGTGCCGCATCGGAAAGACGCTTTCTAACCAAATTGATTCATATCAGCTGATTTGTTGTTTTTATAATAATTATTATTGTACAGCAGTACTGTATTATATAGGATATTATATAGTCACACCTACTGCAAATAAGGTACAGATAAGATTTGTTGTTTTTTACTATTTGTGCAGGTTTTTTTTGCTTTTGGGGGTGGCAAGATTAAGGTTTTATATTTTTTAATTGATACATAATAAATATCAATTTATTTATTTATAGTACAGTACTGCAATGATTTAAAAAATGTAATATATGTTAAAGAAAGAATACTTAGCATTGTAATGTATATAGATACTGTATTAGCAAAATTTATTATTTATTTATTTAAATCAATTATAATTTATGAGGTATTATGTTGTTTATTACTATCTATTTAATTTATATACTATTATTTGTCTGTTTATCAATAATAACTGATTATATACCTATTATTCCACTAAATAAATCATTACGTCTATGTACAATGATGTCCGAATAATTGTCAACGTCAAGAAAGAATGAAGGAAGAGACACTAAAAGTGAATTAAGTCAGTAATAAATATGTATTTATAAATAAAGTGTAGATAAGACTAACATCGACTGAATGCACGACACTGTTAGGTATGGCCCCGCTTACTGCCATGTGCAGATATGAACGGATCAACACAACAAAATAATTACACTATAGTAGCATTAGACACTTGATATAAACAAATTATTACAACTGGTATATTTTTTACTACAGAGAAAAAAACAAAATGAGAAAGATAGATTCACATGGAATGGATGTCACATCACAACTTAGAATATAAAGAAAAAAATCTTAACATTTACACATCAGATAAGTTTAGCAGATATGTAGATTCTTGGTTATTTCAAGTTAAAAACAAAAAATATTGTTGATTGCTTGTAAAAACAATAAACAATATAAAGTGGGCCTCAAACTATGAGACTTCACATGAATATAAAAAACAAATCACAACATATTCTGCTTTTCGTTTTGTATTCTTTTTTTTTACAAATGTATAAAGAAATCACAAGCGTTTGTGGTAATTTGTACACAACATTCTATGCTTGGTCACTAATGAAGTGGTATATACAGTAATGACGAACCGATATATACATCGGCTCACTATACAATGCCAGCATAGAAACTATATTTTCTTCATAGTTGTGTATTAGTACTTTAAATATCACCTATTAATACTAACTCAAAGACAATTTGTCCTTGTACATCTCAGTATTAATAAAAAAAAAAAAAAAAAAAAAAAAAAAAAAAAAAAAAAAAAAAATATGAAGATAAGAAATCCTTCCCAAAAACGCAACTTTGTTAAGAACAGTGCCATTTTTAATAAGGCCAATATCTAATAGAATACTATATTTATTATCCTAATAAATGCATTTATTCAAATAAAAAACTCTTAAGAAACTTTCTTTTAATACAATTTAACAGAACAACTGTTTTTCTTTGTGTTAATTAGTTTTTGTGTTGGTACAAGAAAACCATGGAAATGAACCACACACACCAGTAGTCAATGTATATTTCTGCAATGGTTGTTAGTAAAACAGTTTATGTTATCAGTTTATGTTATCACTTCATGTTATCAGTTTTTTACACCAAAATTGAGAGGAATTACTTGAATATAGAATTGAGAAATAATGTTTTTCTGCAAATAGAAAATGTTTAAAAAAAAGGGGTATAACATTAATTTAGTTATACTTGAAAAGTCTGTAACAATCCCTGAACAGGTATTATGGAAGAAGAACCAACAAAGGCAAATTGTCATCGGTAAATCATTACTCAAGCTGTAAGGTCAGTTACTCTAATCGCATATTCAAAATAACATTATAAATTGAAAAGCTTGGAAGCATGACTTACAAGGTTTTTAACTATTGTTATTTTGCTCTTAGATATCACATTGTTGTTCATAATGACGACACATTTAGCAATATTTAGAAGGCCTTCTAGGAAACTCTTACTTGAAACAATTATACTGAACTAGATCTTCATATTGTATACAAATTTCATTGAATAAAAAAATTTGGTGACAAAAAAATGTTGAAATAGTATCTTTATAATTGGATATATCCCAGTATTGTTTTCATATACCTTAGATTAGGATAAACCAGTTCACTTTGTCCATTATTTTGGCAATTAAATGTTATTATATTTTATGTTTAAATAAATGAATTTTGACTGTGAATTAATTTATTTTACACACATTCTGTATCCATTTTTTCACGATTAGATTTAAAAAAAATTCATTCATAATGACAAAAAAACAACGCTCCCAAAAAACAACTTATTAAGGAAAGTGGTCAGAAAGTGCCCTCTAACAACATAACTCAGAAAGAGATAACACTGCTAATAATCTAGATGATATGAAAGGATATAACTGTATAGAGATATATGTATATATATATAATATATATTGATGGAAACTTTGCAGCATATTGTATCTACAAACACAATTACCTGGTTTGCATAGATGAACGTAAATATCAGCCCTTGTATCAGGCAAAAACATTCCTAACCACACCAACAACAAAAAGCAACCAGGGCGAAGTACCTCATTGGGCTCAACAAAATATTCCATGCATGTACAGTACTACACTGCCATTGTCTCCTACAGCCACTGTTGTAAAATCTAACTCTAGTTGAATGTTAAATCTACTGGGACTGCAGCTGTCTCTACATCACACCTTAAAAAACACAGTTATCGCAATGGAATTACTTCTTCAGAGTTTTTCTCTTTTTATCCTTTGTTTGATTTAGTTATTTTTTGACTGATCAAATTGGAGTGGTATACACGATTTCCACATCCATCGTGGAGGGTAAGGTGGTCATAACTATTAAATAGTTTTCAACCAATCATAAATTAAAGAAATTATATTCTCTTTTTAAATAAAATAATCATAAGGATGTTTACAGGGAACCATAACACAACTCAGAAATGAAAATATAATTCCAATTTAATTTGTGATTGAAATTTCACACACAACCACAGTCCAGCAGAAGAATACATATTAAAACCCCTTTAAAACAAACCAAGACCCAAATATTTAAACAGAAGATGCCCATATCTGACTTTCGACTGATGATGGAAAGAAGACTCATAACATGTGGGAAAATAAATTAAAAGATTGTTCAACTCAGAATAGATTGATTACAGATGAAAATTGTCTATGATATCTTCAAAAAAACATTTCAACAAAATTATACAACTACTTGCCCTTCAACACCCATTGTCTGCCGAAAAACAATATATTAAGTCCAGCAGATTGGATACTGGTCTTAAAACCTTCACCAAACCTACTTTTGAATGCACCCGTAAAGAAACAATTGCTAACCCGCAGGTCAAAATTCCTAAATTTAAAAAAAAATGTCAGAAAGGATCCAACTATATAGAAATGGACTGTACATTTCGATCAATATCTTTTCTTGACATGTTATCATTCTAGACACAAAAAAAAAAAAATCTTTGCAAATAGAAATCTTATAAGTATCAACATCCTTAAAAATATGATATCAACGATGAGTAACATATGTACAGGTGGTTTTGAGATTGAAGTTGAAATTGCAAGCTGTTCCGTGATTGTCCATGTCATTTGCCGATGTCTGGGAAGTGCTTCTCCAGTTGGATAAGAAGCCCCCGGCATGCAGGGCGCAGTGTCATCGTTCCTAGCTTACGGCATATAATCTCCAGTGCATTTGACAGTTGGTCATGATTTGTGTTTTAAAACAGGCTACAATGTGGAAAGAAGAATTATAAAAAATATAAATATAACAGTAATATACTATTAATATTTGTGTAATGTGCATTATACAATTATTATTATTATTATTATTATTATTATTATTATTATTATTATTATTATTTCCTGTTGTTATTGGTAACCATTTATACTCAAGAGAGAGTTGTAGGTGAAGTGTCTTGCTCACAGACAAGCAATGAGACCACTGTTAGATTTGCACACAGCACACTTCAGACATTTAAATTCATGGGTCTACAATCTGAACAGAGGGGCTGCTTATGGCCTGTGGTTAAGAGTCCAAGAGTAAAACTTCTAGTGGGGCCAAGGGCAGAGACTATACAGTTTAGGATGGTTAAAAAATGTTTTCAGACCACTATATTTTAAACTACAATCACACTCACAATAAACTTGGCTTGAAGGGAAATAATATTTTTAGTCCAACTTCGGATGAGGGGGCTCATGCTTTTCCTGATCCCCTACTAGCACTGGCACCACTCGGAATAATAGATTGTTATTAAAAGAAATATCAGAAAACACAAACCTGCTGGAGTGTGAATCCATCATAAACCTGCATTAGGTCTTCCATGGTGTATTGCTTCAGAATCACAAATCCTTCCAGATTAGGGCTTGCTCGCCTTGCACAGTCCTCACAGTTCACTTCATATTTTCTGTCCTTCTCAGTTGTAAACAAGACGTTGAACACCTCCTCCTACCAAAACAATTACAAAAATTAATTATTCATTTAAATAAATATTATCTAGAGAAAGGAGACTACAAAAGATTTGTTACTTTTTTATGTAATAATTGTTATTTGTTTTACTTATGTATTTCTAAATTATGAAATGCTTCTATATGGTTAATGCAATTATCAACTTTATAAATACACGTCATAAGTACCATCATTTTAAGTACCACAGAAATAAGCAGTAACATTTAGAATCGTTTCCATTATTCTTGTAATTCTATTGATTGATTTAATATTTTCTTGTGATATACTTCTTTTATGCAAATACAAAGATATTGAATTTAATTTATTATGTTGATGAAAACTAAAGGTTGTAAGTTCACCTCGCAATTGACGCAGTAATGCGCAGCTTCATTCTTTGACCGTCCATGCCAATGCACTTGCACATTTTCCTCCTTCAGGCTATCTAGGGTCATCTGACATTTCCGCAGTGACCTCATCAAACAGTAACTGAAAATCAATACAACATAACTTTAGAACAAATTTTAGAAATTAAATGTAAAACATCAATAACTTAGGGGAATGGACAAACATATTTAGTGAGAGGGGGAATTGCTGCAACCTTGCCCTTAGGGGCATAAATATCGGAGGGCCAAAGTTAATTTTTGACTTAACACTGAGGGCTGCACCCAAACTTTGATGTTTCTAGTGAGCTTCCAGAAACCTCCATGCACTGCTTTTACACCACTTCATTTTCAGTTTTAATGTTATTTTTTAAATATTGATTGATGTCGGGTCGCAAAAAACAAGGTGTTTTCTAGTTAATGTTGCTTTGCGGGCCGCACAGTGTTTTTAATTCATTTTCACGGGCTGCAAAAACATTGCTGTTACGCAGCATGCTTATGGCCTCATAACTCTATTCTAGGTTGAGTAGAGCCATTGGAGAAAGAGGGCTTTACATTTAAGGGGATATAAACAACAAGTCCTGCAAACTTGTTGAACTACAACATAATGGATAAATTAAGAACCAAAGTCCATCACACAAACCGATAATGGTTTTGGGGGGAAATTTTGTCAGACCACAAACTAAATTATATTTCTTTTTCTTTTTAATATTATGATTTATAATAATTATTTTTATGCTTCTTTGAAAGAGCTTGTGGGATTAAAAATTAATGCAAAACCCCGTCCAAGTATTGTAGGTAAGCTGAAATATTGTGAGTCATAAAATGTGGCAGTACAGATATGCAACAATACCTGTCTCTTATACACATCTAGATGTGTATAAGAGACAGCACCAATAACTTAGGGGAATGGACAAACATATTTAGTGAGAGGGGGAATTGCTGCAACCTTGCCCTTAGGGGCATAAATATCAGTCGGAGGGCCAAAGTTAACTTTTGACTTAACACTGAGGGCTGCACCCAAACTTTGATGTTTCTAGTGAGCTTCCAGAAACCTCCATGCACTGCTTTTACACCACTTCATTTTCAGTTTTAATGTTATTTTTTAAATATTTTTTAAATATTAGCCATTGGAGAAAGAGGGCTTTACATTTAAGGGGATATAAACAACAAGTCCTGCAAACTTGTTGAACTACAACATAATGGATAAATTAAGAACCAAAGTCCATCACACAAACCGATAATGGTTTTGGGGGGAAATTTTGTCAGACCACAAACTAAATTATATTTCTTTTTCTTTTTAATATTATGATTTATAATAATTATTTTTATGCTTCTTTGAAAGAGCTTGTGGGATTAAAAATTAATGCGAAACCCCGTCCAAGTATTGTAGGTAAGCTGAAATATTGTGAGTCATAAAATGTGGCAGTACAGAAAGATAAAGCATGTCATTATTCATGTAATAATAAAAGAATTAAATATAAAATAAACTTTTTACTTACTTGACCATTTCAAAATATTCTGGATCGGACACTTTCAAGTTTCGTGCCATATTCCAAGATAGATGCATGAGGGGTACTATAGATTTGTAATTTTGAAGTTTATTCCACTCATAACGTTCTACAGCAAGTTTGAACTGGTAAGCCTTCAAAGGGCCAACGTTCCATGCTATGTTATTGCACCAACCCTAAGAAAATAATCACTTTCATTAAAAGTCTGTTCACTAAAAACTAAATTTACAAATGATTTGATGCAAGTGTGGAGGCTAGCAGCAAACTGGGCAACTTTAATGATAGGATGAATATATACAAATACTACTGATTCGTCATAAATTTCAATTTCTTCCTCTGATTTCAGATGATCCATTCTCCCATCTTTCAGGACACACTAATTTATGTATGTTTCCTATTCTGTCTAGAACCAATCCATCATTCCACTTTCATTCCGAGCCCTCTTATTTCAGTTGATCCAAATTCCCCCCTTTGCAGTACAGTACAAATACTTCATATATATACTTTATGTATCTAAATGCCATATTTTTATTTTTCATTATTACTGTGTGTACAATTTTTTATATTATTAAATATGCAATGAATTGTTTTCCGCTCTGCTTTTCCTTTTCAAAATTGGACAATAAAAACTAAATGAAATGAAATAGTGTCTTACCACAGCTTGAACCCAATGGACAGCTCCAGCATTAACCCACACCAAGTCACCGGGCCGCTGTACAAATCTATACACAGGCACATTCTCTTCATAGAGGTCTTCCAGTACAGGCCACCAAGAACCGGTCAAAAAATTGATACCATTTCTAAATAGGTTATAGAAAAGAAATGTGTTAGTGAAGGGCCAAAGAAAGTACCCTTTAATAGCTAGTGCCACAATATTCGTAACATGGTAAACAACTGCAGCAAGTTCAAGATTTTAAATTAGGAAAGTGGAGGTTAAGGGCCACAAAATAACAAACAATATCAAAAAAGGCAAAAAAAAAGAAAAGAAAAAAAACAAAGTAATAATTTTATTACTTTTCACAGAGGTTGTGTATGACTCCCCAGTAAGGCTCAGGCACAGCAAACCATTCGCAGTCACCAGGTCCAATGTTAATGTTCACAGAACAAAAGTTGTTATTTTCTTGATGACCTGAAGTGGAAAAGAATGTCATTGACATTAATAAGTAAATTTCAAACCATGGTAAGAATACAACATACAAACCAAATTTATTATTTACTAGTAAGTAATTGTATATATGTTTTGAATTTATATTATACATTTCTTTTTTGATATTAAGCATTTTTTCCCCAAAAAATTGAATTTCCAGTGATTGAACACAGAATCAATAACACACACATTGTGTGCAATCTTCTCTGCTCTCTTAGGAATATTTGTTACGAATAAAAAAAAAATTTCATTCCTAATCCTTTACTTCCAACAAGGCACAATGTGAACGCTTAGGTGAATCAAAACAAGAATAAACAAAGATTTTGTCCAAAGACACAAGCTATATGACTAGCCACATACTCGACATCACAACCTATCTATTTCTTTAGCACTATGCCACAAACTTTTACAATGGTTGAGGAGGTTGTCTGGTCTAAAGAAACAAGCTACATGACTAGCGCCATCACAACCTATCTATTCCTTTAACACTGCGCCACAAGCTTCTACAATGGTTGAGGAGGTTGTCTGGCCCGAAGACACAAGCTACGCGACTAGCGCCATTACAACTTATCTTTTCATTTAGTACTGCACCACAAGATTTTACAATGGTTGAGGAGGTTCTCTGGTCCAACCACCGGAAGCAAGACATTATCAGATAAGAAGTACAATAGTGATTACCTGGTGTTCGACTGCCTGGAACCTTCATGTACAGCTGGACAGTGTTCATACCTAGAATCTGGTAGCCCACGTGGGAAAGCATATTGGCAGCAGACACTATCCGGGTGAACACGGGGAGCTTGGATAACTCATGCAACTGCTTCTTCCACCTGTGTATGACAACATTGGTAAGTAACAATATACAGTATAAATTGTGCACCACTTTACTCAAGATTGCTCAAACTACAGTGTCTTGAAAATAGCAATAAATGTATACTAAAATGGAAAATATAAATATCTAGATGCATACATTCTTCTTGTTAACTTTAACCAAAAATGGCAGATGATTATCACCTAGTGTAATGACCATGTCAGCAACAACCTTGTGCTGGCCTTGCATAGTACTATGAGTACGACTTGTATTTGTTTGTTGTCTAATTGAAGTGAGAGCTTCTTCTATGTCTATATCTTCGTTTTGTATATTGTTTGGTTGATGTTTTTATGTGATAATTAAAACTGAATCTTTGTGTGCTATGCGGTTGAAGGTAGAATCAATTGAATAACGATTGCTTTAACTGTATGCAATGTCTTGTCCGAGTATCTCGTAAATCAATCTACTTCCTTAGGTGTCCTTCATGAGACATCATGAATGTCTTGGGCAGACAATAAAACGCTTTTCCCGGCGGATATAAAGCACTACCCTTGTCCCTGAATGTGTAATAATTTCAAAACAATTCAAGCACACATACTTATTTTCATCAGATAAATCCACATTCGTTCCAAACTTTAACATCTTGAATTCCTTGCCAACAGTTCGTTTTCTAATGAGACAATAATAGAGAATTGTATAGTTAAATTTCCATCAAACAACACATTAATATGTATTATATTTCACTAGTGTATATATTCAAGTTAAATCTGCATGTTATGCAGCAGTGAAGTATTTTAATTAATCAAAGGATGATGTATTACAGCCCAAAAATGATCACATGTTTGCTTCTGTCACACACATTGATGTACTTTTACATGCATCATTTCTTGACATACTTTGTTACATCTGTCCTTGAAAAGCAAATGCTTAACAGTAAATAAAAGATAAACATCCAGAGAGCAAAACCAGAGCTTTTGGACAGGAATAGCCACTAATCAGTCGGAAATATTTTAATGGTGTTCAGGGTGAATTCACACTAAAGTCAGTATAAATTCATTTTACAAGTACCTTTTATTTGAACTTGGGTCAGCATCTGAGTTGTGGTAATCTTGTGAACTTCTCTCTGCTTCTTCCTGAAATATTAAATTTTTGAAAAGTTGGAGTGTGCAAACACATAATACAATATTTCTTTTAAAATATATTTATTATCATGGATGTACTAGGGAAAGTTACAGAATGGTATCAAAAAAAGGGAAAAGAAAAGGGATGAAAGAAGAGATAGTGGTTGGACGACCCAAAGAAAAACATTCTGGATGTATGGGAAGGTTTGAGAGGCGGGATATATCTTGACGTGCCCTGACGTATCTTAAAATGGTATTGTTATTACTTCACACTGGCAAAAGATATGCAACAATACAAGACATACAATGCGTTTAAGTGTTAGTGAACACATACCGACCTGGATGGTCAGACCTTCAGGGAACTTTGATGTTAATACATGAACTATACACCTATACAATACAATACATACACAATCACTACATGTACTATACACATACTTGAGCATGTTAGGAAGCTTGAAGTTGTGTTATACACAATTTAAAGATTGAACCATTACCCTGAGTGATTCTTGGAATGACGATGCCTGGTACTGGGCAAATTTTGCGATGGTGGTGAAAGACCGATTGCTGTTACATTTCCACACCTTCTTCAGACCAGCCATGTCCCAGTTTTCGTCTGGTGGCTGCTGGCGCTGAGTCCGCACCTCAACCGTGTGTTCACTGTTTGCCTCAACCAGTGTCTTGGTGGAGAAGAGGCCTAGGTCAAGCTTGAGCGCTGCGGCGAGACCTCGGATGACTGTGATAGGCTGGTTAGGCTGTAGACAGTGATGGGCTAGCGCTTCTGAGTAAGCATCGTGCTTTGATTCAATCTGTAATAAAAGAATAAATCTGAATTGGAGTACTCCTTTTGTAGCACTTACTAATTACAGTGCACCTTCACTTATAACATATTTCCTTCAACTTGTGTTCAAGACTGCATTATAGAAATACTATAATTAATTAATCAATTAATTACTTGCTATTACTTAAGTGGTAATTGATATTGTCTTCTGTGATAATCAAGGATATCTGTCAATAGGCCTGGGTAATGGGGACTTTAATGGTGTGATTATAGTTCTGACTCTAATGCAATTCTTCTAATAATCCATGTTTTACAATACTTGATGTTGTTAGTATATTATTTCATATTAAAAGGTACACATGTGCAGAATGTAATCAATGAAATATCACAAGCCTTATTAAAGAGGCATATATCCAATGAACTTGGTAAGTCAAAAACAAACTTACAAAAACACTAGGGGTTGGTGGATTGAGCTGATCTTTGTGAAGAGGAGGATAAGGGGATGGGGGCGGGGTCGGCGGTGGCAGCTTGTCCATAAACCTATTTGAACACCTTATGCCGTTCTTACTCCGACATGATTCCAATACTGCTGCAGCACAGCTGTACGCATTCTGGGATGTGCTGTTGCTACTTGGATTACTCATCTTAACTGCCTGAAAGGAAAAGAATAAAACATGCTCAAGTAAACAAGTACATACTAAAGAGCCTTGGGGTGTGATTCTCAGCATATGTTTGGAACCCTTTGTATAGATAAATAGAGTTTATTGTTCTGAAAAACAAGTGACACACATTTGATTTTATTCCTTACTAAAGTTATTTACTTGGCATTAAACATGTTTTTCAAGTTAAAGTTAAGCATCAAAAGAGATTTTTGGGAGGATTGGATATGAGAGTATACATTCCCTTGAAAATGCACAAACTCTAAGCACTTACAAAACATGTGAGCTTTTACCTTATCAAATGCAATGCTTCCATTAAGGTGGCCTTCGACTGAGGCTGTTCCTGCCTCACTACGAGGAGACTTGGCTTCATTACTTCGCGGCGTGCTCACATTTTCCACCGGTTCCCTCTGTGTTGGAGACACTAGATTAGGCAATGTTCTAGGTGAGTGAGCCAGGGAGTGTTGTGTAGGAGACGTCCCAACCTGTGGGGTACTGTTTAATAAACTCGTTTCCACAGATGATTGATTCTGCATCACAGCATCTTCACTTGTCCGCCTTGCCTCCAGTTCAGACTGGGACACAAATTTCACCTCTCCGCTAATTGTAGTACTGTAGGGGTTGGTTGGCAAAACTTGCGATGATGGACTTTGGCCAACAGATGATGCAGCATGTGTTTGTACAGGGGTTAGATTACCACTCAAGTCCTCGCCTTGTGTTAGTGAATAAAGCATACTGTCCGCTATTTCTTGTGGAGATAACTTAGTTTTTGTTTCTCCTTCCGACTTTGATTTGAATTCGGCCAGTTTCTGGGAAATGTCCGGGCTAGGTGGTGCAACTACATTGGGTGCTGGATGTTGATGCGGGCTCTGTAGGCCCATGGGTCCTGCCAAAGACAACGGGTTTTGTGCATGTAACGGACTATTTACCACTGCTTTTGGAGACACTGTTGATCCCCGTTCAACAGAAGTTGGCGAAAACACTTTTTGAGGTAGCTCTAATTTTGAATCAGGGAATGGCAGAGTGTCTACATGACCTTGCATCCCAACAGCGAGCACCGGACCAGAAGTTGAAGAAGGCACAAGCCCGTGGCCATTCGGTAATATTGTCTTGTGCAAAGGGTCGGCAGAAGTAACTGTCCCACTGGATGTTGTCATTATTGCTGAGTTTGTCCCACTGAAACCAGCTGATGCATCTACCGATAAGCTAACAACAGCTGTTGTGTTCATGACACTGGCTGGGTCGACACCCGCCTGGGTGATGGTAGTGTTCGCATTCGTTTGCTGAATATTGCTTAAATTTACCGCACTCTGTTGAACATTCAATCCACTTGTCATTCCTTCTGACTGCTGTAATTTCAGCATCTGCAAGATGAAAAAATGAATACAAATTTCCAAGCAAAAACACACTAATAAATGTATTAAATCTAAAATTAAAAGCATACTATCTTTTAGAAAGTAAACTAATAATTGATAGGTTAAATACAAAAACTTAGTCATGAGCTTCATGACCAATTTAACATATAAACATGTAAATTTATAGTAAATTGAATCAAATTATTCAATTATGGTAATTGGTATGACAAGGTAAGCTGACATGATTCATTCTCTTAGAGACAGATCTAACAAAGTTGGTTAATTAGCACCAAGGGCATGAACCTTTATTAGACTTCATGCACTTTGTTCAGAGGATTAGCAACCATTAACCCACTGATGACCTCAACTATAAGAATGACTTTTGTAACTTGTAAACTCCATTCTTACAGATATTTCAGGATCAAATTATGTAGTACTATATACTAACGCTCATAGACAGATCATAATTTTCTGGGCAAACTAACAATGCACCTGGTCAATTTGATTTAAATAAAAGTGCAAGAGATTGTGTAACATTCTCCTTTCCTAAAAACTACGCAAGTCGCGCATTTAGTGCAAGTTCAGCAGAGCAAATTGTGCTCAGGAAAATTAGCCAAGCTGTTTTAACTGAGCAGAGTAGGTAGTTAAATATTTTGACACACAAAACTTGGAATTTGGATTACATGTTAATTTGAAACATATACAAATATAAAATACAATAAATGAAATTTGAACATGTCCACCAAATCAGAGACAGATTTAACATTTTAGGCATTTGTTCTTTGTGCTTCTTCATGGACAATCAAAATACAAAATAAATAAATAACAATGGGTACCTGTTGTTGATGATGCTGCATAAGCCAGAATGCCTGCTGTAGCTGGTTTAGTATGACCTGCTGTTCCTGAGTTAGTGAGCCTTGATTCTGCTGAAGAGCATTCATCACCTGCAGCTGATGGGGGGTAAGGTATGCAGGTGGGGGCTTTTGTTGCTGCTGTTGTTGCTGCTGCTGTTGCTGTTCTAGGAGTTCGGCAACAGATGTGGAGTTCTGATGTAAACAAGTAATTATGATGTTAATGTCTGATTACATGGTAACAAAAAAGTACTTCAAAGATTCAGATCAATCAGACAATTAAGGTGCAACATCAAAAAACCCACAAAAAAACAACATAGATTTAAAGATTCCATGAAAAAAAAAAAAATCATATTGCACAAGATTTCAAATCTAAATTATTTGTTGTAGTTATTGAGTCAGGTTACGTGATACCGATTTGTTACTAAGCAGTTGATAAAACAATTTGCATCCACAGCTAGCCACAGTATCCATAGCTTTTCCAAATAAAACATCTAAAGTTATAATTTAATTTTATATTTATTAAGCTTTTAATTGGAATGATTATGTTGTGATACAATACTATTGTTTGGATGTGGAGGCACTCAGCTGTCTTGACTGTTTGGTAGTTTTTCACTTCTTTTCATTTATTTGTCTTAAAAACATTAAAACAGCAAGGAAAAATCACAAACAAATATGAGACAGGAACACACCACACTGTCGAGTGGGGGGCCCCTTCACAAAAAACAAATCCTTACAATATAACATTTTGTTTATATATTAAACATTTAAAGTTAAAAATTTTAAAAATCTCAAACAACCATAATTTAAAGGTTTAGTTACTTGTTAATAAGCAGCGTTGCCTGGTACAGTCATGTAACAGATTAGTACTGTGGAGTTATCGTAATACAATCCTGTCGATCATTTTAAATTGGAAAATGAATTTTTAAAATGTATCCTGCATTTTAGCAACTGACAACATAGTCGTACCAGTAATTTAATTTTTCCACAATAAAACTAATTTTAAGTACTATCACACATAAATATATACCTTGGTTTTCTTTTTCTGTCGCTTCGCTGGATTACCTTGTTGCGATTGAGCTGGGTTCTTGCCATTACTCGTTGGCTGAGGACTTGGAGCAATACAGTTGGGATTGCTAGGCATGGCAAACTGACCGCTGAGAGCCCCTGGGTAAGGGGGAGGAGGAGCTGGCTTGGTGACCATCTGCTGGTGCAGTAATCGTGCCTAATAAAAAAGAATCAAATATATTAAACTTAGTGAATAATTAAATTTAAATAATTACATTCTATGATTATTGTCCAAAAATGAAACTGACACAACCAGTGGCGTATCTAGGGGTGC